TGAAAGTTAAAACAATAACAACTAAGTGAAGTGAATATTAGGGATTCTGATCTTATAGATGTGCCAACTTAGAAAATTTTGACTTGATTTAACTCGAGTTGAAATTCACGCAACTTGAGTTAGCAGTACGAATCAGAGTAAATGATTTGTTACAAATTACTTTTTTATAAATTTGTTTTTCTATCTAGCTCTTTGATGGGTTGAGATAATTATAATTTCCTTTTTTATATCTATTAAAACTTATTATGTAGGATTGATATGAAAAGGTATATTTAGTATGTATCATATACTTATGTATTAGTCTAGCTTTAAGATGTAGGTACATAAGCTATTACTAGTTTAATTACAAAAGGTTGAAGTTTAAAGTCAAAATATTCTTAAATAAATTCAATATATTTATTGTGAGTTAAGTGTTACATTTGGTGTTAATTTAAAGTATGATGATACTATATTGATCATAATTAATCAAAATTATATAGGGAATTAAATTACACAACTAGCTATAATAAAATTCTAAATAACAAATTGTTTTGGTTGTAGCTAAATACTCTTTGAAACGCAAAGCGCGCACACAACAAACAAATTGCACTTTTACTCTTTTGCTAGCTCACTTGATCCGTTCATGTACAGCAACCCAAACTCAAGTTAGGAAGATTCAACTCGAGTTAACGCATCACTAATCTATCTGAGATCGATTACTTGAATTATTGTTGTAGCTGTTACTTGTTGGAATGTTGATATTTTGTATTTTTTATTATTGTTTCGTAGATAGAGGATTGACTAGATAAAGCATTCGCGTATGCTTTTGAGATAGAAATAGGCGGGAGGTACTTTCACTGGGTTACCAGATATTGTTCCATTTCCCCCGTTATGCGTTTATTTATATTCACAGCACTTACATTCATACAAAAAACTTAATTGTTACCATAAAAAAAGTTCTTATATAATTCAGATGATTAATTAATTTCTCTTGAAAATACATTCTGTGACAAAAACTACTGGCGGAAACGGCGTAAAAACAGAATCATCATTCTGTATTCAACGGCGCATCGACGATTTTACTGGACATTCAATAAACTCTTTGGATTTCGACGATCAGCGACGAGCATTGTCCTGATAACAGCTAAATAATGGTTGACAACCCGCTTTCCAAGCGTTGAAACTATGCCAAATAACTATAATCATGTTTATGTTCAACAGTGGACTTTTGATAGACTGTAAAGATATATATTCTATTTAAATGAAAATATATTGAAATTTAAAAAGGAAAAAGAACTAAATTTTGCGTACTTACACAACTTTTAGAAATATTAACAATGTTACATAAAGTAAAACAAATGAAAACACAATTATATATTAAATATAATTCAATCAAATTAAAATAAACAAACGATTATTTATTAATTTTTCAACACATTAATAAACAATAAATTTAACAAAATTTTTGTCTTCTTTCTAGAGCATTAGTAGTAATGCTTGGTTTGAGTAGCCTTAGAATTTCTCAAAAATATGCATTTGTAAACTTGATTTATACCTTTGCATGGCAGAAATTCTTGGGTGCTGGTCGTTAGAATCAGATTAGGAGTGTATATATATATATATTATTTGCCTTGTATACAATATATTTTAATGGTATAAATAATAAGGTACAACTCCTAAACTATACTTAGATAGGTAATACTTATCTCTTATTTCTTAATTTATTTACACATTAATGTTTATAACACCTTTATAAAAGGGATTAAGGGTGGACTAAATGTCCCATTGGTAGGCATTCCCAGTCAGTTTTACAATTATTATTGCATAATAAATTATTAATTTGTATATTTAGGTCAGGATTTTAAATTACTTATTTATTTATTTTATTTAAATCTTTATTTGCATAAAACATGGTAGTACAGATAAAGTTCCAACATTTGTAAATGAGGATTCATGTTTAATCAATACATCTACAAATAAATATTTTGTCTTTGTCATGCCCCCAATTATTACAAGTCATAATAATACAGAATGTCAGCATTTGAAAATAAAATAAGCAATGCTAGTCAATTTTTAATACATACAGAACAATGTCAAAAATCATAACTACCAACAAGATCAAACTTATATCACTTATGGAGAAACAACAAGATACAACAAGAAATTATAACATTTAAAAAATTATCTTAATTATATTATAAATTACATAAGTTAAGCATATTTAGTCCATCTAAAACAATGAGGCTTAAAATGTTTTGAGCATACACTGCTAAGTTTTGTTGGTTACCTATAAGCACTACCAGTAGCGATTATCCAACTGTTACTGATAGCTGATTCCTTAGGAAAGTTGTGAAATAATATATTTAAAAGAAATTAATATATTAAATATATAGTACACTTTTATATCAAGGTATTTAACAAAAGAAAAATCAAGTATGTGTATCTGTGCATAAACACAATACCTATAACAATTAAAACAATATCAACTGATTTATTTAAATAGCAAGTATATGTAAATGTAATGATAATATTATTCATACCAAACATTTAAAAAAATTATGTACATATTAAGATTTAGATATTGTTAATTAATACATTTACAGCCTAACAAATGTCCTCCACTGCTGAACATAGACCTCCCACACAGTTTGTCTCCAAATAACTGCAGTTGCCAATTCTCCTGCCAAGCTAGGCAACTATCACAAAACCCATAACTTTTGATACTGACTAATGGTAATGGTAAGTATATTATCATCAAATTTTTTCTACATCATTAATTGAGAATATTATCTTATGTTGTTGTGTTATTGTGTACCTTAAGATTAAGACTTATTTATTATTTTATCTATATTTATATCTATTTTTATATTAGCATGACATTTTTTGAATAAATATTGTAATGTAATTGTTGCTAATCTATAATAGAATGAATGGAATGCAATAAAGTTTTGTGCATCTGATTTCAAGCAATACATATTTTGTGAAATTAAATATACTTTGCCCAATATTTATGTACTTGAATCCAAACATGTTTTCAGCTTGATACTTACATATTATTTGTGAAGTCTATGTAATATAGAAAATGATTGAAGAGTTGTAGGGCAATAAGGACTTTCCTTTAAAGCTGAACATAAAAGTGTATACATATAACATTATGTGAATCATATTTATGGATATAACTACTAATCACAATAAATATTATTATTGAACAATGCGAAAACTTTATTGTACTCGCTGATATCCCTAAAGTTTCTATAATCCTACCAAATCAAAAAGTACACGTTTGTTATGACTTTAAGCTTTCGAATGACCGTTCAAATTAAGGAGCATTATCGTGAAAAATTTACAATTTGGGAATCTAAATATTTGACAAAATACATCACAAAGTTCATTAAATACATGAAATGTTACACTTTATATTCAAAACAATAGATATTAATCAGTACAAATTGCAAATGTAAGCACAAAACAAACTTACAGATGAAAGGTGATATTATCAATTTTTCGTTGACTGATGCTGTTGCATCCTAAAATGCTACAACTTACCATCTTTTTCACCTTACCTAATAAATAAGATCCACAAAAAACACTAAATTCAATTACCTGTTTGCTTATAATATCAATATTATTCAAAAGAGCTTGACATCGTTAATGTCAAATAAAGGAGGGAAAACAATCAAAAACGCATACCTAGAAAAAGACATGAAATATAGATTTGCTTCTCCCTTACTCTTATGTCTAACTATATACGTGCATTTCTTTCACACGCTGATGACGTCACTGAATGTTTAGTCTATAAGATACTATGTCTATGTATTGTTTTGTAGACAAGTATGCAATTATTTTTTATCTCCCTAGTTAACACAGAAAAATAATCAAAAATAGATATTAAAATGCTCAATTTAATCGAGAATCGATTATTATATTATAGATATTATGTAATAAACAATGTTGAATAAAAATCATTCTATTCTATAAAAATATCACAATATCGAAAAAGCAGCAATTTATTACAAATTTCCAAACATTGCATGTGGGTAATTTTTTTCCAGAATAAGCATTTTGTAGGTTGGCTAACTAAGGACTCTCTTTTTACTCTTTGACTTTATGATTAGTTAGGTACAAATGTTATTGACTCTGCATCGTTATTTGCTATGATTATGTAATGTTTTCAGGATGGGATGTCACAACTGAACATAATTATTGTAAAGTGCAAGATGACGATGATTTCACAGAAGCTGTGGTAGTGATTAGAAAGCCTGGTATGTACAAATATCTTAATTGATGTTAATTGTAAATTATAGTAAACATATTATGATTAACACTGTGATTTGATGTATTTAAATTTCAGTCAGTGGCAAATTTTTCAACATTTTGAATAATGTTTTCAGGAAGTGATGTTACGATTGAACACAATTACTGCAAAGAGCAAAATGATTGTTCCAAAATCATCGGTAGAGATTGGATCATCAGGTGTGTACTAATATTCATGTAGTACTAGTTACTAAGTAGCAAAAAAAGCTTTCTAACTATTTCATAAATTTACTAACCGTTCATTTTCTAATAATGTGTTTGCCTTATCATACTGACATCTATAAAAATGCAAAATTGTAACAAATTTCAGATGTTGGAAATTCTCATGAACAGCCTTCATGTTCAAATTTTTCAACTGTTGCAACAGTTGTAGAAAATAAAGGTATGTGAAATTGTATTGGACATAATTTTTTATACATTTATGTAGGGATCAAATCAAAAGAAGTACTTATATGTCGGGTAATAGAAAAAATACTTTAAATGCTTATAAACAGGCTGTGGACTGAAGGTGTCACTGCATACCTAGAACTGCATCAGTTCTAGAGGATAGTTATGTGTATTTGATACTAGACACTAGGATAATATTGCATGCCTTAAGTGCAAAGCACGTAGGTATGTTCTACTAGCGCCTAAAAATCAAGATTTCAACGTTTTGTCGCATGAGATCGTATCTAACAATTATATTTGTTTATTTTTCAGATACATTCCTGGAGCAACCTCCAAGTGCAAGTACCAAAGGCATGGAGATAGATGTTCTCGAAGAACTCGTAGGTTTGTCTGCTTATACTAAACTAACTTTTATTAACAGTAGCTAGATTTAATGTAGACATACAATACAGAGAAGCATACATTGTAAATTTGTTATTTAATATTGAGTTTATGTTTAAGACCATAACATTCATAACTATTGCTTCTTTTCAGGAATTGATTCTAATGTTAATGTGGTGAATCAAATGTTGCCAAAAGGTAGCACATGTACAAAAAAGCAAAAAGGTATTATAAATTCAGTTTATTCTTAGACATAATTAGAAAAAGTTTCAATATCTACCTCAAATCACAATAAGAGTTCTTTGTTCTTCATCTAATCCCAAAATTACAGTTCCACTACACTTCAATGGTTTTATCAACAACTCCTTTACTGTTAAGGTTACATTTCTCTGGAAGTCTTCCCCTGATGACATCCACACTATTTGTTATCTTTTCAAAGTGAATACATTAAAAGTTTAAAATAACAATATATAAATAATAAATTAATATTTTTAAGTGTATCATTCAGTCATAAAATATGAATATAACACTTAATTATTTTATTTATTTCACTTCAGGTTCGGTGAAGAAAATAGTATCAAGGAAAAGAAAATTGGTTAAAATTTTGACTAATATTGCAACTGAAACTTTAAGTGACTCAGTATCACAAAGACTTGATCAAGCCCAATCCCTATCAAGAAATAAAGACCTTTTGGAAAACTTTTATTTGTTAAACAAACAAGCGCAGACTTTCTTGTTTATGCAATTAAAACAAATTCATAAAAGCAAAATGGCCAGAAGGTTTACCTTAGATGAAAAATTAATGGCGTTGCTCATAATGAAACAAAGCCCCAAAAGTTATAAACTATTAGAAAAAATGTTTGCCTTGCCTAGTAAACGGACATTAAATAGACTTTCTGAGAAGGTTTCAATACAACCAGGACTCAATCCATTAATATTTGAACATATATCAAATACAACCAAAAAATGGGACACTAAACAAAAGCTATGTATAATACGGCCGACGTATCTTGGCGAGTCTGAATATAGGCTCTGCGAAGTTTAGCGCATGAACACTCGTGAAGAAAACTGTTATTGTCATTTTTTTATATATACCAATGTACAAATAAAATTTCCCTAATACAGTGACCAAAAATATCAAAACACTTTGGAGACATTATAAATTAAAGATTCAATTTTGATACCTCACCTTTCGATAGGGGCAGATTTTATCACAAACACATACAATATTATTTACATTTAATACTTTTTATTTATTTACACTTATTATTATTTAATCACTGTCGCTGAGGGGGGAAATTCCTAACATAAAGTCGTCGGCCCCTTGTGTACCATGTGAGGTACTTGGCATAGGTTCATCTTCGTAATCGTCGCTCTCACTTTCAGACTCACTTTCTGAATCTGAAGCTGTATTAATGATGAATAATTGATCCGTCATTTCGTCAATAATATGGTCGCTCTTCCTATAGTCATGTTCGACCTCTTGCACTTTTCTGCATAAAGCACTCCATTCATTCTGACCAATTAAATTTACTTTTTCTTGTATGAGCTCCATTGTCCGGGTTACGTTCCAGTCGACGTTTTTAGCGGCTACGTGCCCTTTAATGGCAGCCCACACCATCTCGATGGGGTTTAAATCGGGATGATATGGGGGTAAACGAAGGACATCGTGGTTGTTTTGTTTAAACATTTCATCTATTACGTATTTTTTATTCACGTCTTTGTTTTTTTTTATTAGATCGTAAAGTTGTGGTTTACGCATGTCCTTTTCATATGGTATACCCTTTTCTAATAACCACGATTCCATTTTTGCCTTCTTGTCATTAGATGTAGGGGCAGGATCCATTAATTTGTTGTGGTACGGAGCATTATCGATAACCACCACCGAGTTAGGGCTCAAATTTGGAATCAGTTGGGTCCGTAACCATTTCTCATAATTTTTGAAATTCATGTCATCATGATAGTCTCCGGTTTTGCTGCCAGATTTGAACATTAGTAGCGCGTTCGGAACAAACCCTGCTTCTGACCCAGCGTGTACCATCACTATCCGCTGACCTTTTGATATCGGGCGCTTTAGTCCTTGAGCGGAACCATCTGACCACGCCTTACCTTTTGTATGTGATGAGTGGGCATACGACTCGTCAGTGAATACAATTGGTCGCCCTTCGTCCCTGTATTTTTTCATTGCCTTCAAGTACAAGATCCTTTTCAGGCGAATGTCGGTCTTCTCTATAAGAACCATTCTATTGGTTTCGGTCTTTCGCCACTTGAAACCCAAGTTTTTGATAATTGTCTTTAAGCTCGTTTTACCACCTTGAAAATTTATATCCCGTTTGAGTTTCGCTAGTAATTTGTTTATCGTCGGCATTTCTTTTTCAGTTTTGTGGAAGTTGTGTATGCATCTTTTTACTACTCCCTGGTCAAAATTATCCATATCAGTAATAGGTTTTGATCTAGACCTTTTTTTACCAGGCGTGCGGAATACTGAAAGTAAGCCCGAAATATTGCCTTCAGTTGCGATCCGCTGTACTGTGCGTTGGGACACACCAGTTGCGTTAGCAACTCTTAAATAAACTTTATCGACATCTTTTACGCCTTCTTCTTTTTCTTTTTTCATATATTGCGTTAAATCGTAAATAATTTTTCTCGCCTGGCGATTTAACACACTGTTATGTTTTGGTGGCATGTTTGGCGAATAATATAAGTGCTAACTGACACTTGCAAATAAAACAAATAAAACAAACAAAACAAACTTAACACTATTAATAAAAACAAACAACAATAACAACGAAAACTTTTGTAACCGACTGTGCTCAAGACAGAGATAGCGACACGAACACGACACCAATGCTAACGTGTGACTGAGAAATATTACCGTGTACCGAGCATTGCCGAATAAGCACGAAGCTTTACGAAGTAACCAGAAAGGGATGTCCAACACGCGTGCCTGAGGGTGTTGTTTAATCGATTTTTATTCAAATCGATTAAAATTAAGACATAAAAATATATTTATTTGCAATTTATAAGGAGGTTCTAAATTTTCTCAAATAGTCGTTACTCAAGAAGACGTTAATAGATAATTGATATTTAAGTACATTATGTCTTTCAGCTGAGAAAATAATATGTTTTTAGTTTTTTTTTTTTATTTAAGTCGAAATCTTGTTTATTATCAACAAAATTCACTATATTTGTAAATCTATTTCGTTTAATATCTTATATAAACAAAAATCAATAACTTCTAAATAAAACTAATCGATTGCGATATTTTATGACTAAAGGGTCGATTGTGTTTACTTATGGTCAATCTCTAGCCTAGACCACCGCCCCCCGTACGTCGCCTCATGCCACCATTTTGTTCCTTAAAAAAGCTATTGCGCAACCTTCTGCGCGAAGGTCGGACTCGCCAAGATACGTCGGCCGTATTGTACAATCGTTTTTGACGAAGTCTCTCTAACACCACATTTAACTTTTAATGAAAAAGATGATATAATTAATGGGTTTGTAGATATAGCTGGAGAGAGAAAACTGAAATATTGTGATCATGCTTTAGTTTTTATGCTAAGAGGAATATGCTCTCCATGGAGACAGAGTGTAGCATTTTATTTCTGTGAAGGCACAGTATCAGCAGCAGAGCTGCAATGCATTTTAAAACAGATTGTGCCCCAAGTGATACGAACTGGGTTAATACCTTTAGGTCTTGTTTGTGACCAAGGGTCCACATTTCGAACAGCAATAAGAAGACTTAGGGAAGATACAATTCGTAGGCGGAATATTCAAGGTGTTCATGATGGTGTGTACCATTATTAATTACTTAAAAACTAGTTCTACTTCATGACAAATATTATATATTTTAATTATTTTACAGATGGATCGGTTAATATTGCTGATCACGATTTAAGCATATTTTTTGACCCACCTCATCTCTTAAAGGGTTTAAGGAATAATTTTTTAAATAAAGATATAATTTGGGAAGAAAAAACTGCCTCTTGGAAAGATATTGAGTTCATTTTTGATTTGGATAGCAAATTGGGGCACACAAGGGCACTACCAAAGTTAACGGCTCATCATGTTGATCGCCAAAAGATCAAAAAAATGAAGGTCAGCGTAGCTGCTCAAGTATTTAGTGCTCGAACTGCTGCTATGCTCAAATATACAAATGCACTCAGTAAGTAACGATTGCTATATTGATTTGTAGGCTTATTCAATTTATGTATATACTATTGTAAAATTTGACCAGAAGTCTCAATTTGTAAAAAAATCAATTTGTAAAAAAATGGTTAAAAAAGTCTGTTGTTGTAACCAAATAAGAAGTGTCTTTTTGGCGAAAGATTTGCAGGTACAACTGTAAAAGAAATTAAATTAAAAAGTACTTTTTTCTTTTCAGATTATTTTCATACTGCAAACTCTGACGCAACAATGGCCACAACAGCAGAAGTTGTTGAATTCTTCGACACACTGTTTGACAGCGTCAATGGCTACCCGGGTGGTGTGCAAAGAGGAAAGTTAAGACGAGCGGTTAAACAAAATTCACAACATCACACTTTTTGGATTGAGGCCATTAATAAAATTAAAAAAATGGTTTTTGTAGACACCAGTAGCAAACATGCTACAAAAGCAGGAAAACCTCGACTTGTGCGAGTGCCATCCCAACAAGGATGGATTACAACTCTTGAAAGTTTTATAAGGGTCTCCAAATTGTTATTTGAACAGTATAATGTAGAATATTATTATCCGAGGAATATTAATCAAGACCCATTAGAAAATTTTTTTGGCCGTATAAGAGCTATAAATTATAGAAATGTTAACCCAGATGCAAACACATTTATATATGCCTTTAAATCTTTGATGTTATCTAACATGCTTAGTCCACATTCCAAATTCTCTAACTGTGAAGAGGATAATGGAGAAACATTATTAAATGTTAGTCTTCTTTTTAAAAACCTTCATAATAATAAAGAAAATGACTCGGAAAACACTGTCAGTATTTCGCGAGATCTCCCATCTTCTTCACAAGCAAGTTCAAGAGAAAAGTTGCTGGTGAATGATGTAGTCATGGAAAAAATCAAAGTCCACTGCTCAGCTTACACTGCTGGATACATTTGTCGGAAAGTAACGAGAGCGATTCGTTGTAAGGATTGCATCAAAACATATATTAGCAGTACGGAGACAAACATTCACTCTTACATTAAATTTAGAGAGTATAAATTGTTAAAAAATAATAATTTGGCATACCCTAACGAAAAATTCCTTATCTTGTACAGGGATGGTACTCACTTTATTCATAACTATTTGAATTATAGCTGTATTGGAAGTAATATAAAAAGTAATTTGAAAAGAAAAATATTGAGCACTTTGAGTTTTTCCTGCCTAGGGTGTGATAAGCATGCCTTAATTGTAAAAAACTTTTTCACCAATATTTTAATTAGATTACATGGACACAATTGGTGCAACATAAACAATAAAATATTGAAGGGTGATATTGATGAAAAATATGTATCTAAAATGGGTGAACCCCAAAAATTGGCCTTAAAGAAGTATAAAAGTCTTAGGTTAAGAAAAAAATGTTTAAGTAAATAAAATGTTGATGAAGTGACGACCTGGATATGCAGGTGGCTTAGGACCGTGCTTTGTGACATTTCTTGGGGGAGGCCTACGTTTAGCAGTGGACTTGTGAAGCGCTGTAATGATGACGGTGGTTAAATAGAATGTTCGGATTCCTGAAACGTAAACTCTGTTTCAGGTCCCCGCAAACCAAGTATATAACGAGGCGATATTGCGAATAGCTATGTTGTGTGTGCCGGACAGGTACGTGTGGTGCCGGAAGCGGCCCCCACCATTCGAGACACCGCGCGCACGTACCTTCCAAACGAGGCCCACTGACCCGAGTGCTGCACACTAAATAAAGTAGCTCAGGATGTAGATTTATTCTGCTGTTCCTTGGGTGAATTTACCTAAGTGACATTATATTATGTATTATGTTATAATAGTAGATAAGTTGTGTTCTGTCCTTATTAAATTAGATAGTTTTATATGCCTACACTGTCG